ACTTGCTATCGGGGAGAATGACGGGCTGTTAAACCTGACTGGTGAACTGTTTTGCAGGGAGCTATGCCAGGGCTGCAGAGCTGCAGGGCTATTTTGGGTTGCTGGCCACTTGTCCCATTTTGGGAGCTTCCGCTGGCATTAATGGAGGTTCCTTGCCTGGGACCTGTAGGGACCAAGCGGTGGAGATGAGTGGAGAGCATCAGAGAGGAGGGTTCTTGCCCTGATTTTCTGCTCTCAGAGAAGTGACAGCATAACGTTGGATCTTTAGTTCTGTTCCTCTGCAGTGCTCTGCCTAATTCTTGTCAAATGATGTCAGATTGAGAGTTGCTGTATTACTTGTACTACCAGGCCAAAATTAGAAATTGTTTTACTTTTAAAATGTAAACATGGTGTTTCCATGATATATTTGGTTGTGGGCACTATTAAGAGGCAATCTTTCTTCTTTTGAGATGAGAGAAATCACATCTCATTTGCTGGCAGTGCCCACTGTAAGGTTATCTCCTTAGACACTTCTTATTTTTGAGACGTAGATATTTAATCTTTTCCACCCCAAGCTGCTGTAAAATTGCAGGAAAATAAGTACGCCTTCTATACCACAAAGGAAATTATCTGTTCAGTTACTGATGGAAGCAGATGCACCGTGGTTTGGGCTTGGAGCTTGTAGTCTGTTTGCCCTGTAGCTTTCTAAGTTAATATTCTTGTTTATTATTCTCAGATGGATGATTGCATCCTTGAAGATGCAGTAGGAATTTGCAGGTCCCTGAAATCTTCTAACAAGTTTGCAGTGTTTAATAATACTTGTTTTATAAAATTTGAAATATAATGAGATTGTATCTTTCTTTTAACTGTTCAGAAAAGCTTTTGTTACTGTTAGTTTTACCTTCTTCATATACTAGAGATGATAACATCTAAATATTCAAGTGTATCGTAGGAGCAGTGGAATACTTGGTAAGTGTAAATCGGCTGCGAGTATTTCTGAGCCTCCTGGATAGAATTCCTGCTCAGTGTTGGCTTCATAAAGTGGGATTGTGGGGAAGGTAAAAATCCCAGGGACTGAGATAAAAGAGATCAGAAAAGCCACAAGTGGACAGGCGTCTTGTTGAGGCGTGAAGCGTGGTGGCATCGCTGAAGGCGAGGCAGGCGGGAGGTGTTGGTGGGGGTGATATCAGAGCAATCCACTTGGCCATCCTTTTTGTCTCTGTCTTTGTCTTCTCATCCTTGACCCCCCCCCCTTTTGGAGGGGTCTCTTCCTTGTGAAAAGTCATTGGAACTGGGAAGTGTACAAGATGGGTGCTGGGGTTTGGAAATGGTCACAATGAACATTTGTCTTCCTCAGTTTATTTCTGAGTTGTAGCAGTTGTTGTATCTAAGCTTTGGGAATGAACTGAATCCAAGTTATCTGTTGCCGGAGCTCATTTCCACAATAAAATGCCCTCTTGGAAAGTGTTTCCTGTTTTCTGCTTGTCTCCGTTTCCTCCTACTTCTACTTTCCTGGTGTTGGCCTCTTCAGTTTTTCTCTGTACCCAGCCTTGTTAATGCTTCAACAGGAGATTGTTCTTTTTTTCTCCTTTGTAACATCTGTGCCAATCTTCCTGTGGTTTTCTACCTTGTCAATTCACCATCGTTTTTGACTGATGTTGCCCATAGCGTCCTGTGTCCCTGGGACACACCTCTTGGTGCTTGTATCTCTGCAGTGTCAATATTGCACCCATGTTCCTCAGGCAAGTCAGAACTATTTTGGGCTGCAGCGTGACTGAAAAACGCCAGAGTGGCCAAGATCTCTGGTGGGAGCAGGCGACTGCTGCGTCTGTGGCTGGTGGAGGGGCTGTGGGCTGGGTCCTGCGGGTGGGAGCACAGCAGCTGCTGGGAGGCCCTGGGCCGTTGCTGTGTGCCCGGCTCGGGGCTGCTCAGCAGCGAGGGGATGGTGCCCATGGCCTTTGTCGTCACCCGTCTGCGAGCTGTGCCTGGAAATCGTCCTGCCCTGCTTTGGTCAGGGGTGGGAACTCTGCTGCCAAGAACTTCGCAGTTCATGACTTTCTGTTTGTTCCTTGGGCTCTGGTTTGTTTTCGTTTTCCTAACCCTGATGGATTTCAGAGCTTTGTTCTTACAGGGTTTTGTTATCGAGAACTGTGTCATAGCAAGCGATGTTTTCATTCTTCTTGTTAGAAATATGTGTATCTTGAAGGACCTAGTGTTTCGTTAGTTCGGAAGTTAGGAGCTGAATGTACTGATTGTTTGTAAAATCAGTTTACACCTGGATTATAAATTTAAGTAGGGAATTAAATACGTTATTGGCAGAACCAGAGGTTGTCTCAGGTACTTCAAGGAAGACTTTCAGTTTGCACCTCTGCAGCTCTTCAACAATGCAGGATCAAAGCTGTATTTGTGTTTGTTAATCTTGCTGTTGAGGCCTTGCCGTGTCTGGGATGCCATTTGTTGGAGCATTGGCTCAAGCCAGTGGTAGATCCTTTCGCATTTCTCCCCAGAGTGTGGGGACTGCTATGGAGGAGGTCAGGAGGTTGTTAACACAAAGAGCCTCTGTGTCTGGTGGGGGCAGTCAAGAGGGCAAAGAAAGATGATGAGACCAACACCCACAGAGCAAGAAACAGTGAAACCAAGTGTGCTCCAGTGTGGGCTTTTCACTGAGGAAATGCAGTTTGGAGGAGCAGGCTACTGTGTGGTTGTAGTAAAAGCGTACAGTTGAGGAACAACTGCATTGATGGGACTTCATTTTAATACTTATAAAATGAGATATCTCCTGTTTACCTTTCATATAGGACTAGAAAGCCAGGTTTCAGCTCAGTTACTCCTTTTACTTCAGTCATAACTACTTTATAACAAATTGTATTTATAGTAATGTTGATCTGCCAGCTCCAGTGTGTTTGCACATGGACCCATCTGTGCCGAGAGCTGCAGTGGGAAGCAGTGGTGAGGACTCCTCAATGTTCTGCTGGTACTTGGCTTTTTCTGACCCATCTCCTGCCACCGCTCAGTTGTGTGGCCACAGACACGACATTTCCCTTTGCTCAGCTTCAGTTTGTTCATCTCTCAAACTGACAGTTGAGCTGAATTGTCACACATATTGCCCCTGTGTGTCAGCACCCGTCCAATACACTGGCTTTGGGGACCCAGCTACAGAATGGTTTCCAGTCTTCCCCCCAGCCGCAGAAATCCTTGGTTACCTGGTGGAAGCAGTGGTCCCAGCTTCTCTGACCTCGAATCTTTTTTCTTTCCCAACAACTTGCATCAGAGAGATGGTTTATTTTTCCAGCAGTTTGCTCTAAGTACAGATTGATGCATTTCCTGTGGGGCGATGAACTGCTGTGGAGAGTTTTTATAGTGTTGATGTATGTAGTTGCCACACTACTATTACATGGGCAAAAAAAATCCTCTCTAGGTGGTGGTTCTTGATTTGGAAGTAATGAACAGGTGGGATCGTTGTGAGCAGCTCTGTAGCTGAAATTATACTAACTGGAGCGGGAAAGATGCAGTGATACTGAGAGCTGCCAAAGCTCTAAGCCACCTGCATTTTTATTTGCATTGCATTTATCATGTGGAATCAAATCTGTAAATTGACTGAGCACTGGAGCAGGCTGCCCAGAGGGGCTGTAAAGTCTCCAGACTAGGAGATGCCCAAAAGCCATCTGCACACAGGTCTGGGTGGCCCTGCTGGAGCTGGGGAGTTGGACCTGGTGACCTCCAGAGGTCCCTTCCAACCCCCACCCTTCTGTGGTTTCAGAATTCAGAAAAATGGATCCAGAGTGATGAGCTTGTGTTTGCAGGGAGAAAATGCCAGTGCTGGTTTCTCTTCCTTCCTGTCTCTCTCCTACCAGTGTGCCCTTAAATGCAAGCCCCAGTTCTCCCGTACGCTGTGGCTCAAGGACAACTCGGCTGAGGCTCTGCAGGCCTTGGCGCTCTGGAGGTGGTTGTGGAGGAGAGCTTTGCTGTCTGCCAGCCGGAGAACCCTTGAGGCTGAACGGCATCTTCTGCTCCCTCACTGATCCTGAAGTGAAGGAGAGCTGCCACAGCTTTAATGGAAAGCACTGGACAGTTAGGAAAAAATTGACTGCCCCCATGTTGCTTTGCTGGCTGCTGGCTTATAAATTGTAATGCTTTTCATTAAAAAAGAAGAAGAAGAAAGAAGTCAGGTCTCTGTGGATCCCAGATCATTAGCAGGATCAATTCCTTTTTCACTGTGGAGATCAGAGGCTGCAGTCTTGCACAGCCGATCCGTAGCTGCTGCTGTACCAAGCAGACAGTGCAGAAGCAGAAGAGCTGGTGCGTGGCTGCCTGAGTTGCTGTGCCTGAGTTTTTGTCGTGATGGTAAATCCTTCCATTGCTTTGGAGCCTGTGAAATGAATTTGGTCTCTTGCAGGATTGGGTCAGAACAATCTCACTGGCTATGGTACTAGAAATGTTGAATCCTTTAACTTGGGACTTGCAATCCAAAAGGTTTTTTGGTCGCTTCAGGAAGTTGATAATAGGATATGAAACCTTCACCTCTGAAGGAGGGCTGGTGGTAATTGGAAATTGTTGACATCTGAAGATGTACGCTCTGGTCCTGGTGTGAGAGGAGTTGGATGTGACTTGGTCCAGTTCCACAGCCCTATCCCACCATCACCACTAACATGGCTTGCAGCTCTACTGAAGGTGCCAGTAGATACAGCTGGGAGCTGAGTGCGTTGCACAGACTGAATTTACTCCTCAGTCACAGATGTGGTGGAGCCACACACGTGCGTGTTCTCAGTGAACCCTGTAACCGTGCTGTGAATAAACAGAGGAACCCAATTTACAGCGGGTGGTAAGACTACATCGTACGATACCGTTCTGCTATGACAAGTCTTAAAGAGTGGCTACGAGCATACTGTTTAACCTGTCAGTGCTTTAACCTCTCATCCCCTGCAGAATGGGGTTCATGGGGCTGTTAAAATTTGATTATAAATTGCTTTGTAATACTACATAGCATGAGGCATTCTCAGCTCTTTGCTTTCCCTCTCTAGGGTGGATACACGCGGTTTATACTCCAGTAGATTCTCTGGTGTTTGGTGGAAATATCCTGCATAGCTTTAATGTTCCCATGCAGCTTCGCATCTATGAAATTGAGGACAGAACAAGGGTAAGGATACTCGATTCTCTTTTTAACTGAACAGCTCTTTGTGACTATGATCTGTCACAGTCTCTCCCGCGTATTCGCTTCTGACAAACAAGAATTGACGGGGTCTCTGTGTCAGAGACGCTGAAACAAGAGGTAAACATGAAGTAATGAGTCCTTCAAATGTTGGCTATTTTTAGTGGGTTTTACTCATCTGTTTTTCACCACTTCCCACAGACGTGTCCCTTCTGTGTCTCTTGTCTGCCTGTTAAACTTCCATAAACACCTTTCCTTGTGCACTAAAACACCGCGCTTTACAGACCTTTGTACCAGCGCTCCTGGTAACCCTGCGTTCCATCTCTGTGCACACCTGGACGGGTCCTTGGGCCTGGGGAAATAACGGGACTGGAGCGGCTCTGCTCTCCACTGATACAGCGGCACAGGAGGTGCGCATGAACCCACAGCTTCTGTGCTTTGCAGGATTTTCTTCTGCAGTGGGTCAATACTATACAGGAGTTTCTTGGAACCAAGGGAGTCTGGGGCAGGATGTTAATCTGAGTATTGTGATGTTCATCTGGCCATAGCGTCTACTTGATGGAAAGAGAG